CTTTTTGCTTTTTGCTTTTTGCTTTTTGCTTTTTGCTTTTTGCTTTTCTGGGTGCCAGTTGATCCTGCCCGTATCCCTGGGTGGACTGAATGGCATCAGGTCATGACACATGTGCGATCGCGGTGTGCACTGTGAGAGCAAGGCAAGTGGGGAGCAGGGATGGGGGGCAGCTGGGGGAGTGTGGGGGCAAGAGGGCACCTTTCATTGTAGTCCCACCTCTCTGGGAGACCCCCCCCCCACAGTCCCCTGTCTAGGGGCAGTGGCTAAAATCAGGAGATGTGGCCCTGATTTTCTCTGGTGCATCGGAGTCTCCAGATCGGGCCAGCAGAATCCACCTGGAGGGGTTTTCCTGAATCAAATGCTCTGCCCCCCCCCCCCCACCAGTAGTCAGAAGTGTCCCCACAGGGACACAGGCTCCTGTACAAACTTTACAGCATATGGCCAATGCAGGGGCTGCTTGTTTTGGCGTCTGAGTCTGAATCCCAGGCCTTTTCAGTACCTACCTTGCCACCCCGCCCCCGCCAGGAATATCCAAGGCTGCCTTCTCCGGAGGAGGGCAAATGGCCCACCTCACATGGTCAGGGCAGCATTGACCCCCCCCCCCCGCCCCCACCCCAGGCCTCCAGCAAACGGCTTTTCCCCACCCCACCCGGCTGCAAAGCAGTGCCTGGCCCATGCGCTTCGTGGGAGCTCTCCAGGGTGCTGAAATCCATTCCCCAGGCAGGGCCGCCCCCCTGGCGATCTCCTGCAAAGCCCAAGAGAAAAGCCGCAGTGGATAAGGGGCCGCACCAGCACAGGGAGTCCCGCACGCCCACTCTTAATCCTCAGGCAGGTGGCTCTTTGTGCGTGCGTGTTTGGTGTGTGTGTGTGTGTGTGTGTGTGTGTGTTTTCCTGCACTCGGGCTCCCATCGCACCAGCCAGCTGCTGTCAGCGAGTCTCCCTCTCCGTCAACAAAAGCCTATCATAAAACTGTCCACTTGTCTGTCAACTCTGCATTCACCCATCAAGCTCTTGCACACACCCCCCCCCCCGCCGCCACCCGCGCTCCCCGATGCAGCCGCAGCAACAGAAGAAAAGACGGGTGGTTGGAGAAGGGGAAGGAGGCAGCCGCGCGACAAGTTTCTGACGCAGCGTTGTCGTCCCTTGTCGGAAATTTTGCAATGGAAACAAAACAGGAGGACTGAATAAGCACCTGCTCGTTTGCTCGCTCGCTCACAGACACCAGCAAGCCCAGTTGTGCCCACTCAGCACAACCGGAGACTGCTAATTCCTGGGAGATTTTGTGCAAGATTGGGCTGAAAACAAAAGCGCGGGCTTACAACAGGGGCAGAATTCCGAGGCCTCCCCTCCACAAAGTCTTTCCTTGGCCTCCTGAGCAGGGCACTGCAACAGAAAGTTGCAGTGCACTTCCCAGCTTCTCCCTGTTCTTGGCTCCAGCGGTGGAGCCTGTTTGGCCCTTGGGTCAAGCAAGAGAAGGGAGGAAGGACTGGGGGTCTCCTCTCCCCATCTCCTCTGCC